CGAAAGCATGGCCTTGACCTGGCCTGAGGGAGCTTACTACAGTCTTAGGTACCTATCCTTGGAAACAGACTCAGAGATGTCCTCTGTCTGATGCATAACCATCTCAAGAAAAGAGGAGGCCAGGGCTTCTGGGAGGTAGAGGAGATGGCTGCCCCCTCCATTCACTCCAGGAGACAACTCCTTGAACGCTATCCTCATGGGAGCAGGCAATGGCATCTCTGAGTAGCAACCAAGACACTGGTGCTTGTCCTCCGGGGCTCCTTTCATGGAAGGAGTAATTGGAGCAGAACTTCTGCCTCTTCCCTGTCATCTCCCCAGCCTGCCTGAATGGCTTTCAGGTTTCAAATCTATTTGATTATCATTTCTTCCTGTCTGAATGGAGGCGAAGTGGGAGAATGAGACACGCCGCGCTAAGGCAAGACCGATCTGAATACTTTGGCTAATGCGATGTGAAAAGTCTGAAGGAAGTGCACGCTCATGTTGGCTCCCCTTGCCCACACAGACACACAGACACAGACACAGACACAGACACACACACACACACACACACACACACACCTGTGCCACACATATGTAGCACTTTTAGGTTCTATGCGGCTATTTGCTTCCTACTGACGCATCTAGCAAACACGAATTTGCAAAATGCATGTCTTCTTATTCGCATTTGTGTGACAGAAAGCACGAATAATTATAACAACAAAAGGCTGCCATTTGTGCACCTGGGCAACAGCACGAAAGCAGAAGTTGCTCGATTTACAAAGTTCAAATGCCTCTTTGATTTCAAAGACAGACAAAAATCCAATATATCTGCCTCAGCTGGGTTGGATACCCATAGTACAGGAGAATCTTCAAAATCCTAAAATAAAATATTGCTAGAAGAGTATGCAATTCATGAATTCCCTGTATAGATTCTCCTCTCCAACATAAACCTATAAAAACTATACCTAAACCAAGTTGTCAAGAACCTTAGTTCTCCAACTGGCAAAAAGCAGCTTTGGCCTCTTCAGTTCTTCTGCTCCTTCTGAATCAAATCTCTTACTCCTAATCCTGCTCTTCCTTAGTCCCACTCCTTTAGGCTGAACCAAGAGTTCATAGGGCTTACATTTAAACACAGAGACAGCTCCTACTAGTCCTAACAGAGCAAGAATGGCTTACAATTGGGAGAGGACAATTATACGAAAGCCAAGGAATCAAGGCATTTTGGAAAGGAGAGCCAATACGATGTTCCAGGAAGTCTGGACATTTGGCTGGAGAAATGATCAGATATAATCCAGTCAATTTACAGGTCAAATAAGGGGTGAGCAGGAATGGGATGACAGAACAGCAAGACAGGTTGGAGACTTACTCTTGTTCATTGTTTCGAAAAGTGATGGTCAAAGAGCTTCTCTATACCATGGTCCATTGGGGGGGGGGAAACGGTACCGATGGACTGATGAAATATTGGCAGAACCTTCCCGAATGATGTTTAAGCTTGTGCATTTTGTAAAACATTCAGATGAATAGATCATCGACCAGTGTGGCTTTTTTCATGTCTCTTAAATCACCCATCCATCAACCCAACTGTTCTTCTAGCAGGTGAGGGCAGAAAGGCTAAACAGGCATGACATGGAGTGGGATCAGGGTGTACCTTTTGAGGGCAAAATTGGGATCAATTATCATTTCATTAGAGGTTCCAACACCCTCTTCTGATTTCTGGACTGTAACTCCCAGAAGCCATGACTTGACTGTGTTTGCTTTAATATCTGGGAGATGTCGTCCGAGAACCAGTGAAACCCCACATTTAAAAATCACCCCCTTACAGAAAGAAGCCTTAGCCTGTCTCCACTCCTCCTTCATTTCTTCTATCATAGCTATGAGGAGGAGTCCTGCCCAGCATAGGTCATGGTGAAGGCTTCTGGGCATTTGAGCCTAAGGACATCTGGGGATCTAAAGTGAGGGAACATGGGCTTACCTGATTTTATGGCCATTTTGCCATGAAGCTTCTTGGATGACCTTGAGCCAGTCGGTGTGTCTCAGTCAAGCCTACCCCGCTGGGTTCTTGTGGTGAAATGAGGATGTGAAGTAGAACCACATGTGCTGGTTCAAAGTTCCAAAGTGGAAAAGGGAGACTGTATCTGTGAAAGGAGGTGTGGGCGGCTGAAGATAGGGTTGGAACAGACTAGACAAATTCCTGGAGGAAAAGCCCATCGCAGGTGGCAAGCCATGATGGAGATGTATCATCTTCAGGCGTCAAAGGACGGTACCTCCAAATGCCAGATGCAAGGGAGAGGGGTCAGGAGACAGGTCTCTACTCGCCTCTCATGGACTCCTGGAGGCATCTGGTGGGGCCACGGGGAGATACAGGAAGCTGCACTAGATGGACCCTTAGCCTGACCCAGCAGGGCCCTTCTTACATTCTTAGAAGCCGTCCCCAGAGTGACCCTAACTGGTGCAAACTGATGAATCCAGGGCCACGCAGGCTTTTGGTCAATGCAGATTTGAGTACATGGCCTGAGAGCAACAGAGGGTGCGCAAAGGGATGTGTTCCCTTGCAAGTGCCCCCCTGTGCGGATGGCACAACATTGCGAGGGGCCATCAGAAGAAATTGCAGGATGACAATGGTATGGCTGGGCTCCTAATTTGATCATTCATCTCTGAATGGAGCAAGCTTTGCTCTCCCTAAACGGCAGCAAATTGCTGCACATAAGCTATAATCACCCACCGCACACACTTGGGTTCTCTTTTACGGCTCTTAATTGGATGACGCACGCCACGGTTTTCCTCTCGGTTCCCACCAGCTTGCTTCAGCAAGGATGAGGCAGAAAGGGAGCTGTTCCTTTGTCGCTTGATCAGAGGGCTACCCATTTTTTGAATTTTGGAAATGAAGGCAACATGCTAATGCATGCATATACATTTGCATGCATGGCTGAGGGTACAAGGTTTTTGACAAGTTGTGCTGCAATGTTCTCTTCAAAACTCAGCATGTGCCAGCAATACAAGTTGTTGCTGTTGCTGCTGTTGTTATAGGCTATAGAGGCTTAACCAGGGATTGTGTGGCCCGTAGACCAGATGCAAATTGCAGGGATTCCCACATCTGGTCCACAGGTTTTTTTTCTCTCTTGTCATCTCCGATCAGTGATCGGAAATAAGAAGTTGTTTGAAACCCAGGAAGCCGTTGCACGGAAATGATCCCTAGGAAGCCGTTGCCCAATGCTGAGCTCTGCTTTGCAGCCTAGAGACCTGTCTCAGCCATGGAAAGCAAAGCAAAGCATGCTTAACGCTCCCTCTAGGCAATTTACAGTTTAATGATGCAGGCGACCCATTGCCCCACCCCCACACCCAGTAAGCTGGATATTCAAATTTACCAGCTTTGGAAGGATGGAAGGCCGAGTCAACCTCAAGCCATCCACCTGAGCCTGGGATGAAATTCAGGTCATGTGTGGAGTCTTCACTGCAGTACTGCAGTTTAGCCACTGCACCACGAGACTCCGTCATACAGTCTTAGGAGAAACGTGGTCCTAGGGCTTCCCCAACAGGTTGGTTTGCTCGAAGGCTACCCATGACTGCAAGTGTACTCAGTAAGTGGTTCCACTGTCATATGGATCTTACAAAAAAAAATTGGAGGGGGGGGATGCTGTCCCAAATTGACCTCTCCAGTTTTTAACTGATCTCAATCATCTTGATCTGAGAAAGCCCCCAGCCCTTGAATTTATTCCTAGACATCTCTGAGAGACACTGCACTGGGTTGTCCCTCGCTGGAGGTCTGCAAGCCAGAGAATCAATCATCTGATGGAGATGCCATATCTCTGCACTGTCTTCATGGGCTGGGGAGTTGGGTTAGACGGCCAGCCAATCTCCAACCAAATCCAAGACCATTTGAAAGCCGAGCATTTTGCCCTCCGAGCTTCGCTAAGCTCTCCTTCCACCTGAAATAAAGGCGCTCCTTTTCTTTAGAACATGAGAAGCCTCGAGGAAAACAATGTCGGATTTCACTGCAGTGCCTGGGACACCGTTTGGCTTGTACGGCATTGGTTTCCAGTAGCTATTATGGACTCTCAAGAGCTTCCCACCTGCAGGATACTGATAAAAGGGGTATAAATAAATAATTGGCATGTAATGAGGTAGCCTGTAGATGCTATTTTAACATCAGCCAGTTGGTAAAAGTCCTTTTGATGTGGTGGTACTGTTTTATTTTGCTTTGTGCTGCTTTCATGCCTTGAACGGGTTTTACTCTAGGCACGTCCCATAGCAAATCACAAAATGCCTTGGTTTTCTCATGGGCTTCCTGATTCATTCGTTCATTAAATTTTCATACTGCCCGTCTGACCAATGGCTGCTCCGGGCAGTTCACAACGCCACAAAACCTAGACGTAATAGGGCTCCAAACTCAACTAATCAATTCACTAACAGGGACGTCAACAAACGAAAAACGGACAAAATAATAAATATATAAAGGCTGATACAATCATGTATCTTGGGTTGGCTGATTCTGGAAAGGCTGCCGGAAGAAAAACGTTTAAAGGAGTTTCTTAAAAGACATCAAGGAGAGAACCGAGGGGGATTTCTGGGGGTTTTCTGAGGCAGGGGGCAAACCCCGAAAAGGCCCAGTTCCTCTCTCTCTTCCCCCCCCCAGCGTACCTCGGGGTTAGCCCCCTCGGTCAGCCCACCTGTGAAGAGTGAGTGGGATGGGCAGTCTTACATGCGAGTAGTCATTCTGCCTTCCAAATTGATCTGATAATCAAATTCTCTCTCGGATCAATATTTCTTCACAGATTTATTTATTTTTTTGGTTGACCATGTCCCCTGCTTGAAAAAAAAAATTGTCTTCTTCCTGGCACTCGTTCTTTTTAGAGGTTACCGTTTTCTAATCAGAAAGGAGAGGTGAAGTCACGAGGGACCTTTTATCCCTACAGAAGCCAGCAAAATGCTGAAGCATTTCTGAATTAGCAGATGTGATGTTTAACCCACACTGATTTTTTTCCCCTTCCTTCTCTCCTCCTCACAACTGCTTTTCCTTGCAGGAACATTTCACGCCCGAATGCAAATTCAAAGAGTCGGTTTTTGAAAATTATTATGTGACTTACTCGTCCATGATCTACAGACAACAGCAGTCTGGGAGAGGCTGGTATTTAGGTCTTAACAAAGAAGGGGAGATCATGAAAGGAAACCACGTCAAGAAAAACAAGCCTGCCGCACATTTTCTACCGAAACCGTTAAAAGGTAATATTTGGGAGTGGGTGGGTCGTTCTGTAGCTCTCCAAAGCTTTGCCCCAAAGGGCCCTTCCTGGCACTTACAACTGGTTCCAAGCCCTGCTCACATTGCTGCCTTGACATATGATTGTCCTCATATAAAGTTTTTGAAGCTCCGGAAGATCAAATTAGTTTGGGTCCTGAGGCAATTGGTCGTTGGGAGCTAAACCACAGGCCATGTTGAGATGGCACAAATGCAGCAGCTTTGAAGGAATACATCTCTGGAGGAACAGACTTTTAACCGTAATTACAAAGTTAGTTATTGACTCTAAGAGAAGACAGTAATCCTCATTATTTTTTTAAAAAAAAACTACATATCTCCCTAAAGCTCATAGGTTGGGGTGCCTGGTTCCCATCCCTTTTTCGGTACAACCCTTTGAGGTAGACTAGGGTCAAAGCCAGTTTGCATGGAGAAAGAGAAATGGTATTATACTATACAGTGGTGCCTCGCTTAATGATTACCTCGTTAAACGACAAATCTGCTTGACGATGAGGTCTTTGCGATCACTTTTGTCATCACAAAATGATGTTTTAATGGGGAAAATTTGCTTTACGATGATCGGTTCCCTGCTTCGGGAACTGATTTTTCGCTTTACGATGATCAGAAAACAGCTGATCGTTAAGTTTCAAAATGGCCACCCGCTGTGCAAAATGGCTCCCTGCTGTTTTCAGGACGTAGTTTTCGCTGTACAGGCACCAGAAAATGGCCGCCCTATGGAGGATCTTTGCTGGACGATTAGGTATTTAGCCCATTGGAATGCATTAGCAGGTTTTTAATGTGTTTCAATTTTTTTTCCTTTTCTGATGACGATTTTGTTCTACAGTGATTTCACTGGAGCAGATTAACGTTGTCAAGCGAGGCACCACTGTTTTTTTTCCTTTTTCAATGACGATTTCACTCCACAGCGATTTTGCTGGAACAGATTAACGTCGTCAAGCGAGGCACCACTGTAATTGCTCCTAGACTGTGGAACTCCCTCCCACGGGAGCCCAGCCTGGGCACATCTCTTCTACCCTTCTGCAAGCAGGCAAAGAACTCCTGGGCGCATCTCTTCTACCCTTCTGCAAGCAGGCAAAGAACTTACTTTTCTGGCAGATTTTCCCTTAGTGAATGGCTATCTAAGGATGATTTCTTAAAATGGGACTGTTATGTTCCTGTTATTTTTGTTAAAATACGGTTTTTATCTACCAGCTTTAATATTGTATTTGTTCAATTCTACATAAACATTGCAATAATTTATTCACAAGCTCTTACGTATAATTGGAGAATGCTTGTGTTTTAAATTATTTCATGCTTTTCTGATTGTTTATATGCATTTATATTAGATTCTGTTTATGTGTACGGCCTGATAAGGGCTATGAAGCAATAAAATATTCCTTTCTTTTTAAGAGTGGTTTATTTTCTGTTTATGTGTACGGCCTAATAAGGGCTATGAAGCAATAAAATATTCCTATTTGAATTTGTAAAAAAAAATATTCTTAGTTTTCAGTGCTTTTATTTAAAAAATAAACTGGAAAACACTTTGAGTCCTTTGTATAAGAAATCTACGCATAAAGTGCAATAAATTGCAATAAACTGCATTACTGCAGTTTAACCACTATGCCATGGCCTCATGGTTCAGTGGTTAAACTGCGGAACTGTAGCCCAAACTCTGCTCACAACCTGGGTTCAATCCCAGGTAGCTGGCTTGAGGTTCACTCAGCCTTCCATCCTTCTAAGGTTGATAAATTGGGTACCCAGCTTGCTGAAGGCAGGGGCAATGTATATGCCCTGCATAATTGAATCGGCAATTGCCCCAAGAGTGCTTGAAGCACTCTAGGGTGGTGCATAAGCAACACACTTTGCTTTAATTAATTACATTTCTCTTTTTTTTCCCCATCCCCCGTCCCTTCCGTTTCTCCCCAGTGGCCATGTACAAAGAACCCTCGCTCCATGATCTCACAGAATTTTCACGGTCCGGCAGCGGGACGCCCACAAAAAGCAGAAGCGTCTCCGGGGTCCTGAACGGTGGGAAATCCATGAGCCAGCACGAATCAACGTAACCAGGTTTCGGGGCGCAGAAGGGGAGAGACGTGCGGATGGAACCTTCACCTCCAGGAATCCAGTTGAGAACCTTTCGCCGTTTTCTACCATCCAAGCTGTTCTGTACGAGGGGGCAAAAAAAATAAGTCAAGAAACTGGCATCAGTTGCGTTGTCTGATCAGCCATTTAAGACCTGGTGGCTCAGAAAGGACATACTTTTTAAATACAAAAGAGAGAGAGATCCCCGTGCAATAGAATACGCTTCTGCAATCTTTTGGGGTTAGCCAGACAAACATAAGTTGTGCCGTAACTTTGCAGAGAAGAAATGGCCCATCTCATTAGCTCTCTCTCTCCTTTTCTCTTTAATCTTACTTGCGCTTTGAGAATATGGGGGGCGGGGATGAAAATACGAGGCAGGAGACATTTCTGCACCACTTACATAAGTACTGATCTGAATTTGCTTTCCAAGCAAGAGGGAAATCCAGTCAAAGACCACATTTGGGTGTGTTTTTTTTCAGTTTTTGTTTGTTTGTTTGTTATTCCTCTTCTGAGAGAAATTGTACGCTCCGTGTTTTCTATCTAGCCTTAGGAAGGTGAACCAACCAAAATATATACACTCGGTGATTTTCGTTTTTCTCCGCCAGCCGTTTTGTACGGGCTTCCTAAGGAAAGCAAGCCTTCCATGTGTTATTCCTTTAATTTAGAATGCAGCAACCTTTTTGATTTTTTTTTTAACTCAACGGGTCTCACGGACGCTAAAAGTGGAATAAAACTGAGGAGGGGGCAAGATCAGGATTGGAGCCGAACGTCCGCACGGCAGGCTCCAGAAAAGGATGTTTTTGTGATTTGAAAACGTGCTGAAAAATCAGAATGCAGCAACCTTTTTGATTTATTTATTTTTAAACTCAACGGGTCTCACGGACGCTAAAAGTGGAATAAAACTGAGGAGGGGGCAAGATCAGGATTGGAGCCGAACGTCCGCACGGCAGGCTCCAGAAAAGGATGTTTTTGTGATTTGAAAATGTGCTGAAAAATATATACTGTTTTTGAATAGATTTGTAGTGTTCTGTTGGAAGTCATTGTGCTGCCCCCCCCAGCCCCTGTCTGTAGGAACCAAGGTGTTATAATGAACCCCTGTCAGTGGAAGATAATGTGATTTTTTTTTAAATAATAATAATAAGGAGAGGACATGATACCATCTCTAATATGTAGACGTTTAATTTCATTCCCCTCTTCTTTCCCTTTCTCATATCTACATTTTGTGTATCGTATTAAAATAACAACAACCCTGTTGTCACGGCTTCTTTTTTCTAAAGACAAAAACTGTGGAATTAAAGGAACTTAACCATTTTTATAAGTGGGGAAAAATCGTATTTGTAAAAAAAAAAAAAAGAAAGAAAGGAAAAGAAAAGAAAAAACAAATATACCATTCTTTAGCTTATGTTATATTTTTCTGGGAGGGAAGCATCACAACATATATATGTACCTAAAGAATATATGCCTGCTGATAGAAAGGGGACATTTTTTCTCCACATCTTCCCACAGAGAGGAGGTGGTCCTGGGATGCCAGAGAGGGATCATCCTGGCAGAAATACAAACTTTGCTGTCCCTAGAGTAGACCCACTGACATCAATAGGATTTCGTTGACTTACCGAGTTAGAAAATGTTACCCTATATATATATATATATATTTGGACTACAGCTCCCAGAATTCCCCAGGCAGTTAGGTCTGTGGGTTATGGGAGTTGTAGTCCCAAGAGTTCCCCTAGCTTTGGTTAGGTATGACTGGTCCCATTTATTTTAGCAAGTCTACTCTGGGAAGATCCAAACTGGTAACCCCAACTCTAGAAGAGCCATTGAGTCCGTGGCTGATGATTGACTCGATACTCTTGTCCACCCCATTGGCTGGAAGGTAACAAGAGTTACGCAGGCTTGGAATAGATGTCAGTTATGAATTGCTGCCATTCAAGCAGCCAATGTAGACATTTGCGCTTTCCTCCTGACAGTCACAGTACTGGCATGTGAGAACAGAAGTAGTGGGGGTCAAGCATGGATGTGATTGTATCCTTTGGGACTACAGGCTGGATACAGAACGTGGATTTTAGCCCATAGACTTCCCTTAGGGTGGAACTACCAGGAGGCAGAACCTCAGCTGATGCCCACTGCCAGCCTTCTACTTCCGGGAAGTCCTGGTTGGTGGATGCAGAGGGGATACAGCCCAGTCCTAAAGGAATCCTTTAAAACGGTGCTCTCTGCCTGCGAGAACGTTTGAGTGGTGCCCTCGTCCTTCTTTTTTTCTATGAAATGAAACAAAAACCTTCCCGTCGGTTCCCATTTCGTTCATCCGATCCATTGCATGGGAGGAAGATGGAATCATGGCTTGACGAGTTGCATGATCTTGGGATGTTGTGTTTCTGCTTGTTGTCGGCCTCTGCTACGGATCTGTACAAAGCCGACCCGGTTCGACGCGAGCTGTTTCCTGCTGCTTTGTACCAAGGAGATGTTTATTATTTGTTGTATACAACCATGGACTGAATAAACTAGTTTATATGACAATGTACTCCTTTTTTTAGAAGGGAAAAAAAACACCCTAAGACACTTAGCAACTGCTTGTGGATTTGTTCAGAATGGGTCATATCTGTGTCCTCAACTTGAATGGAGAAACCAGGAGGCACACAGTGAGCCTTCTGTGTAGATCGGTGCTTCCTCGACTTGGGTCCCCAGATACAGCTGTGCCCCGCTTTACGATTACCCCGTTTAACGATGAATCCGCTTGACGGTGAGGTTTTGAATCCACTTGACAGTGATCGCAAAATGATGTTTTGAATGGGGTTTTTCCGCTATGCGATGATCAGTTCCCTGCTTCGGGAACCGATTTTCGCTTTACGACGATCAAAAACAGCTGATGGTCGCGTTTTAAAATGGCCACCGGCTGTGGAAAATCCCCCCCCCCGCTATGCTTAGGGACAGATTCCTCGCTGCACGGGAACCAAAAATGGCCGCCCCTATGGAGGATCTTCACTGGACGGTGAGTTTTCAGCCCATTGGAACGTATTGAATGGGTTTCAATGTGTTTCAATGGTTTTTTTCCGTTTCATTTGACAATGTTTTCGCTCTACAGCGATTTTGCTGGAACAAATTAACATTGTCAAGCGAGGCACCACTGTATTGTCCACACTTCAACCAGTAGGATACCTGGCCATTGGCCATGCTGGATGAACTTTGGGGAACCGTTGTCCAGTAAGAGGTGGGAACCTAAGTTTACCACCATGTTCCTTCCCAACCACTCAAGAATGGGTGCGGGAACAAGTTAACAAAGTGAGCTTCATTGCCCAGTTGGAAACCAGACCTTCCTGCCACCTTGGGTTTGCTCAACTTGCGGGAACAAGTTAACAAAGAGAGCTTCATTGGCCAGTTGGAAACCAGACCTTCCTGCCACCTTGGGTTTGCTCAGACTAGTACCCTTAATTAGAGAAAGCTATCAGAAGGCTTTCTTTTCAGTAAGCTGGCTGGATAGCTTAGTGGTTTAGGTATCTGGCTACGGAGCCAGAGGTTGGAAGTTTGATTCCTCACTGTGTCTCCTGAAAGTAAAGCCAGCCTCGGTAGCCTTGGACAAGCTGCAAAGGTGCCGCTGAAGAAAGGGGTGGGAAACCACTTCTGGGTATCGTCTACCTGGAAAACACTGAAAAGGGTCATCATAAGCCATAACTGATTTGACCGAACTTTAGTGTTATTACTTTAGCATAGCATGTTACAGTTAGAATAGGTCCATTTGAATCAATGGACCTAAGGGAGGAGTTGACTCACCCAATCTCTATTGAACCATTGGGCTACTCGAGAGTGATTTACAGCACTGGTTCTTAACCTAAGTTACTCAGGAGTTTTGGACTGCAACTCCCAGAAGCCTTCACCACCAGCTGTCCTGACTGGGGTTTCTGGGAGTTGCAGTTCAAAAGCATCCAAATATCTATTGATCCATTGGGTTACTCGAGAGTGATCTACTATGCTAAGCAACAGGATTTGGGTCACTATGAATGAAAAGGTCACCGTTAAGTCAGAACTGACTTGACCGCACATGGATTTTATTGTTCTTTTCAGTAAACAGGTCGGAGTGGAACCAGGTAGGTCTGCTTAGGGGGGAAAAAGGTGGGAAAAACCTTCAGGCAGAAACAAACCTTGAAGAAGGGTTCTCTGTTGGATTATAACTCCCAGAACATCTGAGTCAGGGAGTTGTAGCCCAAAAGTGAACTTTCCCTTGTCCTGGGAATGTTTATGAATTCTTCTGTGACGCACAGTGTGTTCCTGTATTGGACAAACAACAGCACTGGATGTGTTAAAGAAATAAACAGGTGTAAGTGAAAAATGATGTGTTGAAAACATAGAGGAAGCTGTTACTTCATTCCACCACCCCCTTTCTTCTAAATTGTCACCGACTGTTTCTCCTTTCCAGGACATTCAATATATATTTTCCTATATTTCCTGGAGTTGGCAGAAGCTGCAAAGGAGTGGCAGTTTCGGACGGTGACACAGCCGAAGTGTCTCCCACCCACCCACCTCACACGCTCGTTGTACAGCCCCGCAGCCTCTCTTCTTGGCTTTACCTCCTCTGGAATCAGCCGGGACTCCAGATGAGTCACTGCTTTGGACGAGCCACACAAAAAAAGGTCCCTCATGCAAGGGAAAGGAGTTTGGGCATGATGATTTTGAAGGCTGATAGAGATTAACTGTGCCCGCTTTTAAAAAAGAAATACCTTCACTGGTCAAGGCTGGTCTGTATCTCGCTGTCAACCGTGGGCTCAAAATCCAGTAGAGACCATTGCTGAAGCTAAGAGAGTCTATGCAGACCACCCGCTAATGGTACCTCAGCCCCATTGCTCTCCATGAGTTGAACTGCATCATTTCTTTTTGCTTCAGTCTCTCTCTTTCTTTCTCCCTCATGGAAGAACAGCTACCTAAATTCAGAACCAGTTTTCTAACCGATAGATGGCCTGGCTTTCAGATTTCCCAGTCCTAGGGATGGAGAGAGAGGAAGGGGTTGAGTGGAAGAAACAAACTTATATTGAGTTATTACATTTGTAAACGGCCAAGCCACTGCATGAAAAAGAGCAAGTATCTGCTTGATGGAATTAGACCTTTCTGCAAGAGGCCCGCTGAGATTGGAGCAGACAAACTTAAGCTAAATGAGGGATGGGAGACCTGCAGCCCTCCAGATGTCTCTGGAGGAAATTTGCCATCATCCCTCTCCCTCAACTATGCTACAGTCCAGAAGAGTCTGGAGGGCCACAGCTAACCATTCCTGAAGGCAGAGGCCTGTTCACTGCAATGCCAAGATGCAGGGAATCTGTTCTGGGAGTCAAACATTATGGGAGCTATCCATAGTGCTGAACCTTGTTCCTCCCAATATATTCAGCAATGGCGGCATTTTAAAAGTCCAAATAAAGAGTCCACCACCTTCCAAGGTAGTCTGTGCAGGTGTCTATCCGCTCTTTGTTTCCAGGAAGTGCTTCATAATGCTTACCTGGAAATCCAGTTCTTATGCATTTGAACACATGTGTTGAGGTTCTTCCTTCCCAAGTAATAAATATCTGATTTGTTCCAATTTCCATGTGAGAGACTCTGAAAAGCCAAAGGGATACTCTTTTCCTCTTTCATCAACTTTCAAAGTTCAAGACCATAGAGGTTCTTTTTAAAGGTCCTTTAGGGGCTTTCCACCCTAGCGCCCTAGCGCTGTGTCACTGTATATCATGTCATTCTAACAGTGCACTGGGAACGCACAGATACCTTTGCTTAAAATATGGGCCTTAATTTACCTAAGGATTTCAGGGTTATCTACTGGTTTAAAAAGAAAAGGAAGAGAAAGGCACCTCTCCCTGCCCCGAGTATTCCACGATATATGTCAAGGAAGACAATAGCAGCAAAGCTATTGTCTGAAGACATTTTGCCATTGATGTGGGATATACAAGCTGAGATACATCTAAGCATCAGCCAGCCCATCTCTACTGTTGCTTAGAGACACAGCCATATCCCAGGGTGGATTAGAAGCCAGTCTAGTGTTGGAAAGGGCTGTGTTTAGACACCAGAACGGCAACCTTGTGGCTAAACAGCAGCCTCTGATAACAGGCTGGCAATGCAAGTCAACAACAGCTTAGTCATCAATGAGATCTATTTGTTCGTGATGGGCCCAGAGGCCCCTTGCAGGAAATCTTCAAGAGTGAATGCGCACAAGAAATTTCTGGAACGGAGCACATGCTGTTCGACAACAGCAACCGGTGATGCCAAATGCAGAGGAGCAGAAAATCCATTCCACATTTTGGTCTCTAGAAGAGTTATCTGACCTATTGGGGATGTGGGGGGATAGCATTCCTACATCATGGAGAGTTCTGACCAATGACCTCTGGAAGTGATGGGTACTCCAACGCTGGAGGCGTTCAAGGGAAAATTGGACCACCATCTGCTGGATTTGCTTTGTTTTGGAGTCCTGCAGAGGGCAGGGGGTTCACCTCGATGGCCTTAGAGGCCCCTTCCCACTCCATGATTCTGTGATTCTATGTTCTTACCCTCCCTCTGCAACCAAGTGGGAACCCCAGAAAAGAGAACACTACTTTTCTGAAAGAAGTCAACCCTCAATGCTCACTGGAAGGACAGATCCTGAAGCTGAGGCTCTAATTCTTGGCCATCTCATGAGAAGAGAAGACTCCCTGGAAAAGACCCTGATGTCGGGAAAGTGTGAAGGCAAGAGGAGAAGGGGACGACAGAGGACGAGATGGTTGGACAGGGTAATCAAAGCAACCAACATGACTTTGACCCAACTCCGGGAGGCAGTGGAAGACAGGAGGGCCTAGCACGCTCTGGTCCATGGGGTCACGAGGAGTCCGACATGACTAAACAACAGCAACACATTCCTTGGCCTTATTTAGAAGATTAGTGAATAAGCAATGCAACAGGCACTGTTTTGTCTTTTCTGAAGTGACAAACAAGATCTTTCGGCTCCCATAAGCTCCAGGATATAGCAAAATCTAAGTCAACCTTCCTAAATCCTTTCTGGAGACAGCAGAGCGTTGTTTTTGCTGCAGCTCCTGGAACAATGAGACAGCATAATCGATGGGAAGTGTCAGAGAGAACAGGTCATGGAGGAAGAAAGAAAAACATCCGCTCTTGTCATTCAAATCCTACTGACATTATAATAATGTGATAAAATCCCTGCTAGACCCAGATGTACCTGCTGCTTCATTAGGAGGTGTGTTTTTTTTTTCCAACAGCCTGGTGCACATCATTCCAAAAGTCAGGAGCGTTATTGAACACCATCAGTGTGACATGCGTGACATCAAAGAGTTGGCAGGGTGCTCATCCAGATTTGTCACCTTCTCTTCCAAATGCAGAGGATGGAGGCATACCTGGCCTACATGCAGAATTTGGAAAGTAGCGAGGAGGTGGAAGTTTCGCTAAACTTGGATTGCAAGCTTTTTTGTCCCTCTGAAGGACGGGCTGGAGGCTGACAAGTTAAGAGGCTAAAGTTTGGTGGTGTGTTGCTGGGGAAGATGCTATAGCAT